GGACACGGGCCGGGCAGCGCCTCTCAGCTTCCCCCGGGGGCTCCAGGCACGGCCCCGCGCAGCTGCCGGGGCCCTGGGGGCTGACGCGCGGGGCGCGGGCCCCTGCACCCGGGGAAGAGGGAGATGCAGAGCCCCGGTCCCGGCTGCACAGCCCGAGCCCCCGCTCGGGCTTTTCTCGTGTATGGGGCCGGGCCGCGCTGCCTGCAGGGGCCCCCGGTGCCGCCGGGCAGACAAGGGGCTCTGACGTTTCCTTGCAGGAGCCGCCGTGACTCGGGACAAGAAGATTTCCTGCCCGGCCTCCCGTCGGGCAGAAACCAGAGTCCCCTCGGGGGCGCGCAGCGGGGGGCATGAATAGACACACACGTATCTGTAGATATGTGTATAGCGATATGCACACACGCCCGCACATGCACAGATGGATGCACCTAGATACTTGCACCCGTGTACAGATCTGTATGCACATACACAGAAATGCACACATACGCATACACACATGCACATATATAGATGCACATAGCTATTTACACACGTGCACACGCAGAGATGCATACACCTAGTTGCACCCTCATTTGTACACATACACATGCAAATGCAGGCATACACATATATATCCACACATGCATGCAGTTATAGATGCACATAGCTCTTTGCACAGATGCACCCATACACATATACACACACATGCACACATACGCAGATATACATACACATATACACACATACAGATATACATGCACACAGTCAGATGCACACACATGCACGCATACGCAGAGATACCCACAGATGTTTGCACACACAGACCCATAGATTGTAAGGCTGGAAGGGACCTCGGAAGATCGACTCCAGCCCCCCTGCACCATATACACAGGTACACAACCATATGCACGTAGAGACATATGCATGCATACCTACACGCACATATACACACACATATGCACGCAAATGCGTTTTTAAGGCCTAAAGCAAAGGAAACACCCGCGATCCTTCCCTTCAACCTCGCGGGGAAGCAGAAGAGGAGGGAGGCGGCGGGAGAGGTAGAAGCGCCCCCCCCCGGCCAGCTCCAGCTGGGGGGTTATTTCTTGTTCCCACTGGACACAAGGCTGGGAGAGCGCGGGGCTCGTTCCCTGCGGTGCAGCGGGGGGCACATGAGCCTTGTTTCGGACGGGCAGAGGGAGGCCGCCGCGGCAGGAGGGGGCCAAGCACCTTGCCCCACCCCCGCTCCGCTCGGGCAGCCGGGCCCGCGTCGCGCCGAGTGGAAACTTTCCACCGCCGGCGGGTCGGGGTAAGGCGCTTATTTCCCCGGGGTCACGTGGCTGCGTCGCGCCGGGCTCCGGCCAGCTGTTCCAGCGGCCACGTGCCCCCCCTGCCCCCCGCAACACACGTGTTCACCCC